GGCGAGGCTGTACGACCTCGCCGACCTGGAGGGAATCCTCCCGGCCGGCAAGGCTGTACAACCTCGCCGACCTGGAGGGAACATACAGCTCCTATTCATAGAGGCTGAGAAGGCAGTAGGAAACAGCCTTATGGAGTCTACTATAGGCGGTCTAAATCTCATAGTTTTCCTCACCGTAATGTGTATTGCCACTGTCATCCAGAGCTTCGGGGTAGACGGGGGTAAGCTCTCGTAGTGAGGTGAGCCAGAGAACCGTCCGGTTACTGGTTTCAGCAGCTCGAATGGCACTAGGTCAAACGCCGTAGTATCGAGCGCGCAGGTACGGCAGTCCATGTCCCCTACAACTCCTGATACCCAGCTCCTTATAGTGTCCAGAAAGTCTGGACTCAGCAACACCCAATGTCCTCTCATCAAGGTAGAAACTCGGAACAGCGGGGATGCTAAGCCTAGGTCCACGAGGCTTCTGCTGGCGGTGTCTGGCCGGCGAGGTCGTACAACCTCGCCGACCAGGAGGATTCCCTCCTCGGCCGGCGAGGTTGTACCGTCAACCCTGGTCGACGAGGTTGTACAACCTCGTCAACCAGGACGATTCCCTCCTGGCCGGCGAGGTCGTACAACCTCGCCGACCAGGAGGATTCCCTCCTCGGCCAGCGAGGTTGTACCGCCGACCAGGAGGGATTCCTCCTGGTCGACGTGTAGGCCTTTTTTTTCTTTTTCTTTTTTTTTTTTTGAAAGAATTTTTTTTTTGTTCTTATTTTTTTTTTGAAAGAAAAAAAAACCTCCCATAGGACCCATGCCTGGGTCCTATGGGAGGGAGATTGGCGTGCAGGTGTGCACTCCATCTGCAGGCCGATCCGCCCTGCGGCCAACTGGCGTGCAGGTGGGTTGCGTTTCCTCTTTGGGGTGCAGATAAAGCTGGGGCACACTTTCCCAAAGGGTTTTCCACCCAATGAGCATCTCAAACCCACATGCAATGATCAGGTTTGAGTCAAAAATAGCAGGATAAATTTTCTACTTCATCATTGGAGGACTTCCCTTGTATTTTACAGCCCCCTGTGAGGCTATTGTCACAGGCTGTAAAACTGTTTTCCCTGCAGATCCTATAAAAAATGGGAAGTCTTCTATTGCACTGAATTTTTTTTTTTTTTTTTCACAGGTAGTGTGATTATCCAGTGTTTCAGATAGCATAAGCTTACCCTGGAGTCTGAGGGTGTCTGAATCTTTGAGCTGAAAAACCAAGATTTTGTGTTGGAATTTCCAGACTTTTGCTCTACTTTGTGCCTCCAGAATTTTACAAACATACACCTAGAAGTTTGAACATTGGATGAACACCAAAAATATTAATAGATGCAAAGTGATGCCATGGTGTCCAAACTTTATCCATCTACATATAACTAAAAAAAAATAGGCTTAGAGAGCCAAACAAACTGACATGCAATCCAACGCCGGCGTCAACCTCCAATTCACATTTGTTGGATTTGTCAATGCCGGTGTTAGACCGAGGGAGACAGGTGTCCAACTCAAGAAAACCCCATATGTAGGTCATCGAGTAAAACCCAACATCCGGGGCAAAAACATGCAGCCTCCCCAAATTTGGGGGCATATATTAGTAAATATATAAACATACACTCATAAATAATGTTTAACACAGCATAGTGTGTAGAAGAAGTATAAAGCTATGAATATGCCTCATTTATTTTAAGCCAAGGGCCTGGGTGTCAATTTTTTGTTTTGCAGGTATGTAGGGAAGGGGTTCATTCATTTATGCTTTCTGCAGCTGTATTGTCCTTGATTTTTATCACCTCCACTCTCACCAATCTACTCATGTATCCAATTCAATCACTTACTCTTTTCCCTTTGTTCAATCAATAATTGCATGCATTGTGAACCTTTCCCAATCGAGATCACTCCATGAACCTTTCTACTGATATAAAAAAAAAAAACAATCTTGATTGTCAAAATCTTTCATTTCATGATTTATTATAAGGTTCAGATTTAAAATGAATTTGAAATTTCGTGCCAAATCAACCACCCTCTCTCTTTAATGCATCAATCTCATTTAGCAACCAGTCCAGAGAAGCTGATTCATTGCATAAATAAATCGAATAATAGCTGTTAAGAGCTTCAATCACTTGTATTAGCATCAGTAGAACAGATGTTCAAATAGGCGGAACACGGCCCCACACACATCGGAGCGAGATGGCGCAGCTGGTAGCGCGCTGGGCTCATACAGGATGGTGTTTCACCAACTCAAAGTCACCCAGAGGTCGTCGGATCGAAACTGACTCTCGCTACTGTTTTTTTTAGTCGGAGCCGGCAAAATTGGCTGAGCCGTAATAACTCCTGTTTGCTGAGAGAGAGGCCACAACCCAGATGATAGATACATGATGATAACATGTGCATTACAATATGAGAGAAATCAATGAGGGAAGAGAAATAGTTTCATTCCTTATCTTTTAGCAAGCCGACTCCCCCACTTCTTTTGACTCTTTCAGCCAACCCCATCTGGCCGAAGAAGACCTTCTTTTCCTGTTCCATGACGAACTTGGCCTTATTGCCGTCCCCGACCCCGCCGGATTTGATTCGATTCCTTTCGCGCTCGGCTTCCTCGATCTTCATCCGTTCGGAGTCTTCTGCCTCGAGCTTCTGGAGCCGTTGGGAGCGCGACTCTTGCAGCGATTTCGCAGCCGCTTGCATCTCTGCCAACTTGGCCGCCTTGGCCTCCGAAAGCTTTTGAGTACTTTTCGCTGGCTCGGCGGTCCTATCCGCTGGTGTTGATGATGTTGGTGGGTACGATGGGCCCTGGTTGGATCGTTGAAAAGAGCTTGAAGGATTTCTTGGTCTTCCTGAATCTGGATAGTGCCGACTGGACGAGTCATGGTGCGAACGACCGGGTAATGGGGCCTTGTGATAGTTCCTGTCATTTGATGAATGATGGGCATGGGGAGGCTCTCGATCAGTTGTATGCTTTGATGACTGGTTCCGGCTGGTCCGTGAAGGAGAACGAGATCGCGATCGCCCGGTGTGACGGGAGCCGCGATGCCGGTGATCAGGGGATGTAGAGGTCCGATGATGATGGCCGCTGGGATGATCGGATGTTCGGCGAGAAGGTCTAGAAGTCCTATCAGGACTGTCAGATCGACGACGGTCATCAGGGGAAGGAGGGCTGTGACGGCGGTGAGGACGACGATCCGGGGAATGTCGGCGGTCTGGGGATCCTCTGCGGTAAGATCTGGAATGACCATCCGGACTGACTGATTGGTCTGATTCCCTTGAGTGATGTTTTCCACCTCTCGCACGTTTTGATTCATTTCTGCCCTCCAAAGACCTACCGCGAGCATCTTCAGCTGGATCATGACGCCTCTTGCGGGCCTCTTTGAGGTCTCTTTTGAGCTGTTTTCTCTCCTCCTTTTCCTTTCTTGACTGTTCCTTAGTGGTGAGACTAGATTGTAATGCCTTCACTCTTGCTGGGTTCTTCTTCAGATTTTCGTACGCTAGTTGTTCTTGTTGTTTAATCGCAAGGAGTGGATCTTCTCGAATCTTTGAGGCCGTGTCTCGTGCCGTGTTGGCATTCTGTAGCGAAATGAAGCCACCGCCAGCTTTATCGGCATCAGATTGGCTCGCAGCTCTCGCTTGTAACTGAGGGGAGGTTTTTTTCGTGACCAAGAAATTGGTGAGCACGGATTGTATATGATTTGAGCATAGCTGGGAGAGGGCTTTACTGACCTTGGCAGCTGCTTCGTCCTTTTCTTTGAACAGTTTATCGACGGTCTTCTTCCCGAGGAGGTAAGCTTCTTGCTCTTCGGCATTGATCCCATTTCCAATGGCAGGGGTAGCATAGAGCCAATCGACACGCTCTTCTCTTCGACCACCCCCTTGCTCGGCCTGGATCCGTTGAAGTTCTTGAAGCTGGCGCTCTTCGGCCAACTCTTTCTGTAGTTGAGCGGTTTTCTTACGTTCTTCGAGCTGCAAGCAAGCACTCAAAACGTCAATTACCAGCAGATCCTCAGAAGACGAGAATAGAATCGACTTACTGCTTTACGCTCCTCCTTCCAGACCCGCTCCTGATTTTTCATCAAGAGCGGATGCCAGGACTATATTTGACCGGGGGAAACAAGCTCGGTTAGCATAACAGCTCGAGAAAGAACTAATCGAGATGACCAGATACTAGCTAACCTTTTTCATGTTCAAGTCACCGCCACCCATCTTGAAGTCGTTCTACTTTTCGGTTTTGATTGTCCTTGATTCGAGAGTACGAAGGTTGAGTCTGTTTGTGGATGAGACTGAGTTGGGCTATCGGGCTAGCAATAATTTGGTAGTTGTTGTCAAGGAGGTGGGGGAGTTGGGATTTGAAGTGCGACAGATGACACTGCGTGCGGTGTGGAGACTTCACTTCAGCTTCAGCTTCACACAGGCTACAGCACAAGCATGGACATGAATATAGTCTCGGGCTACAATCAGAATATTACATATGACATCATCATCACCATCAATATATCCAATGGTGCCCCCAGAACCAGATATGTATCGCTGGAGGACTTCCCGTCGGTCTGGGATCCTAGATTTAGCCTTCCTAAAGCCAGATTCCAAATCTTGTTTGCTGATGAGAAGTCAATGTCACTTGATTCTCTTCACCAAATTGAGTTTGGGATCTAGGATTAGACCTTCCAAATCAAGGGTTCCAGATCGACGGGAAGTCCTCCACTACGTATAGTCTATGAGCCAGAAGGATGTCTCCATTTCAGGGCAAATAGATTGAGGGTGTAAACAAAAAAAATCTAAAATCTTCATACACAGCCATTTTGCTTGGATAATATCCAGAAGTTGATGGTACAATTAGCTTACACATCTGCTATGATCCGCTCCATAACCATTAGCAGTACTCATGAGCTGGATTTAAAATAGGAGAGAAAAAGATATATATCTATCATGTGCAATCTCATGAGGGCCTTATCATAGTATTTTTTTTTCCTAGATACTGAATCAAATCAATAATTGAAAAAATAAGAAAGAAAAAAAATTGTTGTTATTAATTAGGGAAACAATTACAAAAAAAACCTGCTCTATATTTTCAAATCGGTTTGTAATTAGATGCAAGAAGGATGAGAGAACTTTGAGATTGCTAATGCTGTAATGGTGATAAGTGTATCTACATGACACCATAAGGAGAGACCACGATATGTCCATCAAGAGCCTACCGGATTTCGTGTTTTTTTAGATAGTCGGATCGATTAAATGTACCGGTGGGAGATTTTGAGATTGAAGAAACATGAATAGGAGAAAAGTCGAATGTGAGTGGACGACACTTCGATTTGATTATCAAGGGATGAAAATAAGGAGGAAACAAGCTAGGGAAACAGTCTTCCTTACATGAGATCCGTATTGCATCTGTCTATACTCGATCACGGGGATAACGTCGGAGAATTCGACAGCCGAGGTAAGCCCAGTCGGTTCAGCTTGAGCCGAAGGATTGAGGCCAGTGGATGATGAAGTAGATTTGAACTGGAAGGAAGAGCTGATCCAATCGTCGAGCTCTTTCTTGAGACGAGTCAGCAGCTGTGCTTTGAACTCGGCGGTTCCGAACTCATCGGCCGGAGGGGCGATGACTTCCAGATAGACCATCGCGAGCGGCGCCGTCGCCGGCGATGAGCTGCCAGCTGGCTTCATCAGGAAGGTGGATCCCTCATAATGGGCCTGCGTCGCTTGGAAGGAAATGTGAAGATCGGCTGGATCTGTGCAGTCGTTGAAATGTTAGGACAGTCTTGAAGCAGCCAAAGAAGACAATAATAATTCTCGAAAGCTGTTTCCGTTGAATCCATCAGAATACCAAGAAGAAAATGTGCTCCGATGGATATCATGAATGTATGTAGGTGATCTCCGAGGAAAGGAATGTGCTCACCAAACAAGGCATCCCCACAGCACATCCTAAAACTTATCGTCACCCTCCTGGCCAAATCACTTGTAATACCCACGTCTGAGCAGGGTAGCGAGCTGAGCACCTTGACGATAATCATCTTAATATTTATGTGGACTAATTCTTTCCTCCTGGTCTCGGTCGGTGCCTCTGTCGCAGTCGACAGAGTTTTAATACTAGGACATCCATGTCCCAAGACTGTCACAACACAGTCATTGGCGGTCTGCCATGCTTTATGCTTGTTGCTGACCTGTTTTATATACTTGTGTTACTGTATTTGAAAGAGTTGTGAAGATCAGTAAGATCCTTCATTTAGCCTTGGTAGCCATGACTTCCTACAGGATAATGCTGGCCTTCAATTCATTCATGTCTCCCTAACATCTCACAATTTGACGCTTCGTGAATGAATGTCCATGGACAAGATGATCAGTAAGCTGAAATGAGATCTATGCGGCTTTTCTGATGCAGGGACTTGTTTCATCAAAACTATTCTCAAACAATCCACCCATCAAAACTTCAAAACAATAACAATTGCTTGTTTATTTTTCTGTGCAAACAAATCAACATTATCAATAAGTTAGGCAGGGAGAGGATATAGGGTTGGAGGAAGAGGTCATGGGGATATATGATGTAATTACAAATTTCGCTGTGAGCTCGCGTGAAAGTGATACATAAAGAGAAGCAACCGTTTGTCTTATCTAAATAAATTCCCTTCTCCTTTTTTTTCTACTGGCAAGCCACGTAAAAAAAAAGAATCCCAGTGATTCGAACCAAGTAGCCAACGAAGGAAGGGGACCATCGATAATGTCCAACTGAATGTGAGGATGATTATGTGGATTGGATGGAAATAGAGTGAATCAATGTGTCTTTCCCCCTCCTGTTCTTAAGGTTTCATAGTCGGCCGGTCATATAATTCCAAGCAAACACTCCAGCATCTGAGGTTCGAGAAGCTAAGAGACTTCACCATGTTCTTCTCGTCCCTGTATCAAAAGATGCCGTTGGCTAGGCAATGTGAAGATGCCATTGAACACACATACCAAGCTTTGACAAACCCAATTACTCTTCCAATCAAATCGATCGACCATCCCTTCGGTTAGCGGGAGCCTGGCGCTTTTGGAGATAGTCCAGGCAACTTGGCAAACGAAGGCCTTGAGAGGTTGATGTTTAGATGAATCGCGGCGGGTACTACGATTGGATAAACCATCCATCTCAGTCATTGAATTGAAAGAAAAACGTACATATTCATGGTTATAAGAGCTACTTACCAACTTTGGGATCTACAGCTACTACCAGAATGGCCGTGGTTTCTGTCAGACTATCGAGTACTGCAGTGTACATGGGATGAGTGATTTCCATGGATTTGAACCGAGATCTGATTCGACTATCTAGGGGCACATTTTCAATACCTGGAGGATGTTGGAAGAGGGGGGTCGACATGATTGAATTAAATGGACTGACTCACGCTGATGCGGATTTAAAGGCTTTTACGACAGCTGAAGCTCGTTCAAACCGCCGTTCATCTACCGCTTGAATTTGCTCAGTCGCATCATTGTCCGTCCATCGAGCGACGACTAACGAGGTGGCCGTCTCGAACACAATCACCTCGCACGCCGAGGTAAACTTGGCAAAGCGCTCCAGCGGTGCATGCAATGAACCGATTTCCGGAATCAGCATTTGGACGATTGTCGACCAAGCCTGATGAAAATTTTGGACCCCAAAGAAAATGAATGAATCAGCCCCCATTCCCGCGTTTGCACTTTTTGACATCGAAAGTGGAGCAGACGGGACAAAAATTTAACCTTGTAGATTGTTTCATCCCATATCGAAGTACTGAAGATATGGATCATGTCTGCACTGATCTTGCCCTTCGAGTAATCCTCCACTTTGTTTCTGACTTCTTTGGCCTTCGATTCAAAGACCACCTGTCGATGTTCTTCTGGTACTAAATCCATCTTGTGAATCAAGATATGCAATTTGAATTCTTCCATGCTATGTATCGGATGAGAAATCGGGTCAGATAACAATTTTCGGTGAACAAAAGTCTTGAAGGAGAAATAGAACATACTTCTCTGATTCACTAAGCGTTTCTAAGATCGCCGAAATCACTCTCGAGAACCAGATCATATCGATGGTTGAAAAATCTGGACTCTCCACATCAAACACGTATAGCAGACAACCTATCTGAGAGAAAACTGAGCTTCGATTCCGGGCAGGCATCGACAAGACGTTGTGCATGTACGCTGTCAACTCGCCGAATAATTTAATTGGATGATCAGTTGGTTGGAAGTGAGTTTTTTTTCATTTTATGGGTCCGATTGATACATACAGTCTTGTCCCCCACAGTCTACTAGCCTGAGGGCGAAATGACCCAAGAATTTGATTGGGGTGGTCTCCATATCTCTTAAGAACATCCAAAAAAACGACATCAGTGTTCATGCACGGGTTCAACAAAAGGGCATCATTTCACAAACTAGGAAGCCCTTCGTTGAGAAAATAGATTTCAGGATGAGACTGACATGGTTGCTCCCAGTTTCCTCGTATCTGCCGCAGCCATATTAGCGAAGATCATATTCCTCATCGACGATTTACCCGATCCTATTGAGAACCCGCAAACAAATGGAAGATGTAAAATCAGAAAAGGGGATAAGGGATGGGTGTTCTAAGGAAGAGCAGAAAGACTTACCTGACTTTCCCATCAACAGGACCTATAGATAATGTGTTGATGTGCAAGCAGCAATGCCCTGTGAATTAACGTGTGCGATAAGGAACTGAGTAGCAATCCGGTGGTAATCTGCTGACCTTTTTGGCTGCATCTGACTGAGACATTGGGGCTCGTGTTGGGTCGGAACTTGCAGGCTGTGGGTGGTCCTCGATGTGCAGTTGGGAAGTTTACTGAGAAAAGGAGAGGCATGTTTGTTGAGAATAGTTGTTATCGGGGAATTCGAATACCCTCGAAGTTCCCCCGGTGGGCCCTATGACATCACAAGTCAACAGGCCGACTCAGACCGAACCAACCCATGAAAACCATCAGCATCAAGACCACAAGACTCAAGAGACCCACTTGGTATTTAATCAGCTGAAGAATAGTTTCACGATAGAAGAATCAGAAAAGAATGAATAATCAAAAGACGAACCATTTGATCACCCCCAAACCCAGCGAACCACTGCTCAAGAAAGATTTCCTACCCACACCGGCAACAAAGACCAACGACATTCTCGGATCATCTGCAAGCACCAGTCAGAACAACTCACCAGGGGCAATCACCAATAAAAGCTCGAAAAACGTTATCAATCAAATCGCATCGAGGAACTTGCAGCTGTCAACTCAGAACTTGGCTAACCCAATCAATGCTAAACCTCTGTCTGCAAAAATCATGCAAGGCGTTTCGTCTGATGAGATTGATGGGATGATCGAGTAAGACCCTCCCCCCCCCCAAAAATTCAATGGACCTTATGAATTTTCAAATCATCTCTCTCTCTTTCTCTCGACAAAAAATAGAGAAAGGACAAGCCACTTACTCGATTCTGTTGAATTTGTCTAGAAGAATTAAAGCCGACATCGAACCGTAAGTGACCAAGTTGCTTTCTCAGCCAAAAAATAAGAACACATTGAATTGATCCAGGTGAAATGACAAATATGAAGCTTATTAGAAAAATGTCAAGATCAGGACGCAAGAATCAATACACTCAAAGTGAGTGATTATCCAAAAGCAGTCAACTGTTTCTTTCTGGGTAAAAAAGAAAAGGAAAAAAAAAAACTGAAGAGGATTGTGGTTATCTACAGGAGTCTTTACATCCACACATCTTATCCACAAGGACAGCGGTGTCGCATCTGAGCCATCTAGCCTCGAGGGCGAAGAAGACCTCGGATCTCATCGACCAACAATCCAATGCATTCATTCAACTGGCTCAAGAAGATATCCATAGACAGATCGAGTCGGATTCAGTGGGCCGCGAAAAAGACTTTAGCGATACCCAGTCGGATCTGTTGGGCGGTGATCAACTCGAATTAGCTCGCTCAAAAGTGAACCATTTCGGTTCCCCCCCTCTCTCTCTCTCTCTGCAATATATATATACTGACAAGAGTTCGCTTTTTGTACACCGCTGAATTATCATTAGCTTTTGATAGCTAACAGGAAACTTGAGAAGCATATCGCACGTCAAAGATACTATGAGCGTAAACTGGCAAAACATCTTTCCATCAGTCAGTCCATCCCCCCATCAGTTTTTTCACATGTGCTTTGTTTGAAATCAAGCTTGAACTGATTCCTGTGTGGTGCTTGCTACCAAACGGCAAATCCAGTTCGGCGAATGATTCTAATTCTATTGACGATCAAGATCATAATCGATTTGAGGATTGCAACCCAAGTGATTCGATTTATGAATGAGCTAGTTCCGGCCGAATTCATGCCTGCGTTCTTCGCTCGTCATCTCATTCACAATCTCCATCCACCACATCATTCACCCGATTCAACTGCAGAGGTCCATCCTAACAATCCATTCGCTCATGAACATCAACATTACCCCAAGAAACAAATCTCCGACTTCGTGGCGTACTTCCTTTGGATCGTCCTGATCAAGCTCGAGTTTTTCTAAAGGGCTGGACCGGCCAATCGGCAGTCTCGCTTCGATCCGTTATGCACCATGAGTGTTGGATCATTTTCGTCATCGAAAACCTGTTCGTCATCTTGGTTGATTGGCATGTACCCTATTTGACCTCTCCAACTTTATATTATTTGCTTCATTAAGTCCCTTGGCCATTGTACCCATACATACGATAAATGTTCTACCAATTGTATATGTCCATCCTCTGCAAATAACTCAAAACTCTCAATTTGTCCGGGGCTGGTAAATCCGACTAAAAGTGAGCTAATCAAATACTAGACGCCCAAATGGTAGCAGAGCATAGGAGTTAACGCGACCGCGAGAGCTCGGCTTCATGGAGGACGTGTCTCTCAAGCAGCTCAGAAGTATTTTACAGTTCCTTGAAAGCTTAAGCTGGAAATAACAATCTTATCCAGTGATGAATTCAAGCTGACCCACTTTCTGCGGGGTTGCAAGCTATCCTTCACCGGCTGAGGAAGCGCATCAGTTAGGTCACAATGCCTAACTTGGTCCTTTTTTTCAAGAAAAAGGTTCCCTGCGGTCAAATGATAAACCGACTACATATTCCGCTAGCCCAATAACAAACTTCGAATGAGTCATCGGCTGATATATCTGCCACGCAAACGGACTTGTTACTTGTCTCAACGTGGGCCAGAATGAGGGCAGCTTGCACGATCAGGAGAAATTACAATGACGATTTGATTGATGACAGGCTTCTCCCTGTCGATCGAGAACGATATCGGCTTGAGCCGCCGGGCGGCACCCGCTTGTAAGTACAAGACTAAGAGCTCTTGAGGACGGTATGACCGTTATTATTTCAGTTTTGAAACATGGTTTGGGAGAAAGTTGTGCCGCCATTAGTCCTTAGCCTTAGTCAAGCTCGAAACAGAAAATTAACTCTTATTTAATCCAACGAGTACTTCGTTTCTTTGGGTTGGGCTCTTTGCTTCAGCGACACTCGTCTCAGCCGTAGCACTCAAATAGCACCACCGGGCCTGACGTTGCACTTCGACTCTCCTATACATCAAATAATTGCCAAACATAGCCGCTGCGCTGATCATTGAGCGATTTGTGGACTACTTGCTTCTTCACATGTTTGCATGGAACATGATGTATGTATCACACTTTCCTCAGCTGTTGGGTCTCAAGAGACTTGACAGACCCAAATACGAACTTAACAAAAGTCCGCGTCCCTGCTGCGGCGTGGGGCACTGTAGCCGCTGGTCGAGTGTGCATGCACCAAGGACTCTCCCGCAGGGAGAGGACTTAGGAATAATGAGCCATCATGGCCCAACAGCACCTCCAAGCTTTGGTGGTGGAGGATGTTGTGAGCACCTGCAGGCCTCACTTTTGAACAAGTTTTTTTTTTCTTTTTCATAGTTTAAACTTTGTATTTTTATTTATCAAATAGCCTATTCAGAATCTGAAATACATATCCCATTGATGATCAAATAAATACATGAAACTTTGAGTTTCTTGAATTTCCGTGGTCACTTGCTAGCAAAGCCATGGTTTTTTGGATGGCTTTTTTTTTCCACGAACCACTCTTTTTTTCTAACCTTTTGGCCTTTAATCTCAACGGCTTTCAGTTTATTCCCCATTTCTCTCTTCTCCCTCCCTCTCTCTCCCAACCCGATGCATACAGTGGCGCGCGGCATTGTACTGTACAAGGCCACCCGCAAAAGTTGATTAGGTCGCGCGGGGTTAAACCTCGCCCCCGACGGGGGTCCGGCACCTGTAAAGAACACATTTTTGGAGTCTACAAGGTGTGTAGATTCCAAATCTATATCGGCAACCAATTTGGTCCAGCCAAACAAAAAAAAAATCTTTTTTTCACCGGACCATTCGGTCACAGGCCAAATATGGGGGCCTAAGTACATAAATATGCAATAGGCTGACACCATAAACCCATACTTGTATGGCTATATGTCAGCCTAAGCCCATACACATAAGCTTAAAGCCAATGTATATGCTCAAAAGTGCATCAGCGGGCTTGATTACAGCAGCGTGGATGTCAGATTGACGTCTCAACCCCCCAGAAATTAACAAAAAAAATCAAATTTTTCCGAATTTTGGGTCCCGACCATTCGGACATCCCAAAATCCTATACAGTACAATGCCGCGCGCAACTGTACACTCCCTCCTCGAGCACCAAACCACCTGACCCCTCACCATTCAAGACACCAACCTCTCCAATTGTTCAACACTGGTGAGAGGACGAAGATTTCAATCCCCATCCAAAGAGATTCCAAGGAACTGAACGATCGTTCTACATTCGACGATCGCATCTGCCTGTTCCCTGTTCAATGATCGCATCCGCCTGTTCAACGATCACATCGTCCCAATCACCTGCCTCACCGTCGGTTCGCAATTCCAAAGCGACTTGATCTTGGTCACTTCATTCCGACCGCTTTCCAAAGAACTCAACACTCCTTCTGCTTACTTTTTTTGCTTTTGTGTTGATCTTTTTCGCTTTTTTTTCTTTCTTCGATCTGTCTCTCTTCGATCTCTCTCTCTAACTATGAGTAATGTTTTCACATGTCGTTCATTTCATTTGAGGTATGGCATTATACTTCAATGGCCGATTGGCCAATTAACATTTTAATTGATCGATAGACAAAACATTAAAGGTCCGACAAAAATAAAAAAAATGACCAATCTCAAAAAAAGATAGAAAAAAAACAAACGGTACCGGAAGAAAAAAGAACAGACAGAATTGTAGATGGGATGCCAGTGCTCAGCTGGGATAGCGTAGTGAGAGCGAGACATCAAATGTCAAGTTTAAAACTTGAAGCAAAAAAATCCTACGCTTATTTCCGAGGAGCTCTTGCGCGGGCTCCTCACTCTTGGTCATAAGCCTTGCTTGCACCTCACGCCTACGGGTGCTCGCGGGCTTTGCTACGCTCGACCCAAATATCATCGTAGCATATTCAGATTTGAACACTCAAGCTCTTTCCTCGTTGAACCTCTCCCAAGTGCTTCCTATTGCCTTGTCATAATGGGCCAATCAAACTCTCTGATTTGTACAAAGCGTTCTCTAACATCTGCAAAAAAAAGACGTACATTGCTTCGAAAGAAAAAATTAAAGCTTTTTGCGAGTCTGCGTTGGCTATGACCAAAGCATGGTTGAACGGGTTGCAGTATCATTGTCATACAATTATCTTGACAGATCCCAGGAAGCTAAATTTTACCAGGTCGGAGGATCAAGGGTCAGGTCTTTGGTGGTGCAAACATGCAATGAGTGGTTGGTTGATTGCACCTGTGTACCATAGTTAGATAAAGATTATAAAAGGTGGCTCATTCGCACTCTTCTGAATTTCCCTCATCACCTTCTCAGTAGCCAGTTTGGTTTACTACTCCAATCTTTGAAGATTCAATGTAGGTGACAATTCTGCCTCAAGACCATGATCAACTCACCTTGTCCATAGATACATCCGTAGTTTTATCTTACCGCGTTTCCTGGTTAGAATGAAAGGGGGATGATTGCTGATTGACTGATGTTCCACTTTCCAGCAACCAAACCTAACAGTAGAATACAAACCACCTTATTGGTTCCCAAAGATCAGACTTATCTTTGCAAGATTCTTTTTTGGTGTGCCCTAAAACATTCATCTTATGGTTGTTTTGAGGAGAGGTTCAACCTCCACTGATGTAATTCTCTATCTTCTTCCATTTCCATAACAACAAAGTCCCTTTACGTACCATGAACAGATTTTTCACTATTGCAGCTGTTTTGGTCACCATGACCATCATAGCCAGCATTGAGTCATGCACAGTGCAATATGGAGTTGCGACACGTTGTCTGACAGACGGTTGTGAGACTAAAGGTTGGGAGGATGGGCGACTAAGTACCGGCATGGCACGTTGGGAATGCTACAATGACCACTGTAACTCCAATTTTATCCAAAAAAATGAGTGGGTAAGAGTTAGAAATTGGTGCCAGGCTTGTGTCAATGCCCGTGTCAGAGCAGGACAATCAAGTGGGTAGTGATTCATTATTCAAAAGTGTAGGAAATACACTGACTGGCATGAATGATTTGGATTTAATAGTAAATGAATACACCAATACGCGTTAAAAGGAAGATTCTACCGGTACTCCTTCATGATAGTTTATCATCACACAAAAATAGTATCTCATTTTGGTTCTGGATCAAATATGAACAAAAAAAACATCTGCCTACTGTCACTCAGAAATGTGGCCTTGAAATTAGTTTGCAAAATTCTTGCTGCATGAAACATTGAATACATGAACTATTATGTAATCAATAGGTTGTGTAAGAAGTGTTTCATGAAGCAGGAATTTTGCAATCCAATTTCAAAGCCACTATAAAAAATGAAGTAGCTACAAGCAGAACACAAAAAGGAAAAAAGAGAAAAAAAGACTTCCTGTTAGCTCAGTATCCATTCTATCACATCCCAATTCAATGTTCCAATTCCCTGGGAAACATTTTGTCTTTGAAATGTACACCCATTTCATGTGCCTAGAGTTTCAATTCTTTCCATTTGAGCTTTTTACATGACAGGTAGTTCTTGTCCCTAGAATTTCCTAGATATCTGGTGTGTTGGAATTTCACTTTATCTTTCAATTGTTCACCTTTTGTCACTGGCCAAATTTTGTTTATTGACTTTGTATTCATGCATCAGAGTGCTTTTGTTCCCACAACTTGGCATCTTGGAGCTAGAATATGTTAACCTGCTAGAATGAGCTTGAATAAGAAAATCAATAGTTTTGACTGGTATTTTCCTTTCAGTGACACATCAGCCTTATATAATTCTTACTTCAAGGACACTTTGACCCAACATAAGCCTTATCACAATTTCAAAATACCAAGAGATTTCAGTTTTACTCTTAAACGTTTGTTCACAAAAACCTGATAATGGATCTTGGACTTTTTTTAGAAAAAAATAATCAAAAAAAAATGGAAACCAGCTGGTTTTGATGATATTTCAAGACACTGAAAGCCTGCATGTTTATCATAATTCAAAAAAACATGCCAACCCTGATGTGAATTCAAAAAATGTATCTACCAAAATTAGTAGAAAAAAAACAAGATTGCCATTTTGAAAGTTTCAGAATTACACCAGGGGAGCTTTGGGG